GTAAAACTAAATATCTGGTATAAAATTCTAATATGTCTTCTAATACAAATGTGCATTAGAAGAGTAAATATTTTATTAGTGACCTACAAACGTGTTGAAGTTGTTTTTCATATACAAATCTTTTAAGTTAATCTTGAACTAATTCTTTACTTTTCTACTCAAAAAAACAACAAATCAATTCTAAAAGAAAAGGTATTCACTTTTTTCACAATTCTTAATAAATTTTTGGGTTGTCAGCTCTATGTTTTCTAATTTCTGGGTCAAAATTGACAGTTCTTTTGAAAAATTGAAACAGAAAAATTCTTATTAGAAAAAAATCTCTCAGATAAGAACTGAAATTCATATATATATGCATAAAAAAAACTCACGATTATCAAACAAAAATGTTGTAGCTTTTCGATTTTCATTGACAAAAATAATGTTGCCAAGAACTTGAAAGTATTAAAATGGGATTTCAAACATATACATATTTTTTTTCAAATACCAAAAAGCTTAGCTATCTATCGTATTTGCTTTAGAATATTTTTTTTTTGTATAGAAAATAGTTTCAATGTGAGTGATATTTCAACATGTGATATTGCACATGGCTTCGATTCTTAAGTGTTTTAGAACTTAACGACACGATATAGGCGTTCTTATGTGGGGGGTTTGCAGCGCACAATGCAGCGCTATGAGTTCTTATAAATCTAAAAGCATGAAATCTTAAATCTGTCAAAATATAGTAATTTGAGATATCGAAAGCGGTATTTTTAGACGTTAATGTATCTGTATCTGTGCCTGAAGCGGTGCCCGTGCCGGTGTTGAGCATAAAAAGTAGAGCAACACAAAGCGTTGAGTAATCGCTGCGAAGGTGTTCGAAGGTGGTTTTCTCTTACAAAATAGGGTCAAATGTGACACTTTTGCGACATTCGGAATGGTCGAATGCACGATTAGAGTGTTCACTGCTCGCCGGTACACGATACACGATACACTGTACGCTGTACACGGTTCCAATGTTCACTATGTCATAAGTGACAACTGTTGTTGCAGTGATAGATATAAGTTGACAGTTCTGACAAATGAGCTGATAAAAATAATTTTGATTATTCAACGCAGTAGCGAACTGACAATGTGTAAATCCAGTCGATTGCTGCAACAAGAATGACTGAAAGCTTTTAACATTTCACATTAAAAAATTCTTATTGACATACAATAGAAATACTAATTAAATTAAATAGAAATAAATAAAAATTAATTTATTTCTATAATTAAATCTGGTTTTTATCGCTTATAGAACTATGACAATCTTTTAACTTTCAACTTCCTCGTCAATACAAGTGCTACATCATCTTTTCTTTACTTAGCAGTTGATTTCTGTTTCTCTTCTTCTTTAGATTTATAAATAAAAATACCTTAAGATATGCTTATTATATGCGATGTCTCACTGTCGTTTAGCTACAAGATATTTTATGAAATTTAAATTTTTTGCAATAAATTAAATACTATAAAAGCAATATTAATTTCAATGTCAAAGTTATAGCAATTAATATAACGGTTTATGTGAATGCAGAGGGAGAGGAAGACGAAGAGGGAGATTAATATGTGAAGACCGCTGTGAATTGCAAATAGTTTAGTTAGTCTTTAAATATTTCATGTAAAAATGAAATGGAATTTATAATAAAAACATACTTATTATATTATTATATATAATCTTTTATTATATAATATACGATATTTTATTATATTATATATATAATATTTTCTTATATAATATTTAATGTTTTATTATATTATATATAATATTTAATTATATTATATAAATATTTTATTATATTGTGTATAATATTTTATTATATTATGTTTAATATTTTATTGTATTATGTACACTATTTTATTACATGATATATAATACTATTTTACATATTATATTCTATATCATATTACATATATACATTATTATATATCTTTCATACATTCTGGCACTAGAAGTTCAAAAAATTACACTACTGGAAATAGAATTATTGCACTATTGGATTCAAATCGAACTAATCCGGATAATCGCCTTAGAAATCAGATTATGATGAGTCGTTGTGATTAGATGTGTTCTGGAAAAATCACGCCATCACGGATTTGGTTCTAATAATCCAATAATAACCGGGTTTGATTAGGGTTTGTATTAAAATCGGATAAATTTTTCGTTATCTAGTACAAATCAGGTTTTTTAGTCTGACCAAATTTTGACTAAAATTTTATCTGTCGATAAAATAATACGAACCGTATCTGACGTATAAAATGAATTCACTAGTTCAGAAAATTGTTTCGTATGAAGAAATAAAAAAAAAGTATTTTCTAATACTACTCTGGTTACAATGTATACGACTCTAATTCCGTATGCGGAATAAGGTTGTGATCTGGAAATAGTACAAAATTTCTTATTGTCTCTGAACCTTATAGGTTCTTAAGAAGATTTTATGTTTAAGTTTAAAGTATATCGTAACTTTAATTTTAATATTAATGCAATTAAATAGAAAACTGCTAAGCTAATAGAAACGCAGGAAATTCTTTTATTGATCCAAAACCTTTGTATGGAGTACGTAACGACTTTAAAATTATCTATGACTCAATAATTACTATAAATTTAACAGACTAATAAACTAAATGGAACAAGGGAAGACAGACGCAGCTACAAAGACATGTTAAGGTTTAAACAATCTGACAATTCAGTAAAATGACATTAAAACCTACAGACAAAAAGATGATTGTTGATGTTTCTCATTATAAATATATAATTCTTTTCACAATTAAAAACAAAAATAAAAACTATTCTTTAAGCTTGTATAATTAACTGTGTTATATACACATTTATTAATGAAATACTTACGCTCAGAAATATAATTTGGTTTATTTAACTAAATTTTAAATATATCTCAGGTCAAGCTAGTCTTACTCGACGCATTATCTTGGTTGAACAATATTACATGTTGGTTTCTATATCTGCTTTACCATTGGAGCTTAAATTTTTCTAACAAAATGATCAGTCAATTTAAATAGAGCATATTTTGTTGTTATAGCATATTTTTTATGAGAGTATGTTCTTATTGTAACGCACAAGGGATAAAAATGCAGCAATGTAAATGTAAAAGTTATGCACAACCACGGTTGCCACTTATGGTACTTTAGTACCAAAATTGGTACTTTTTTTTCCGTTTGGTACTCTGGTACTCATGTTCAAAAAGTGGTACATTTTCGACGACCCAACTTTATTGTGGATATTGTATTGTTTTATACTTTTTGTACATTTTATATAAATTGTATTTTCTTATAAAAAGACAATAGAAAAATTTTGGACCTTTTTTTACAGAAATGGTACCTTTTTAAACCAATTTTGGTACAGAAAAAAATTTCCAAGTGGCAACCGTGTGCACAACAATAAAAATAGTTGCAACAACAACGATGTTGTTTTGTTCGCTATAAAAATGTGTAGGTAAAAAATGTTTGTAAATGGATAATATGAAATAGGGAACCCTTTGAAGTAAATCAATATTAACTCAAAAATATTATAATATTATATTTTATTTATTGATTTGAAACATTACGGTTTGTGAGAAGAGTATATCCATGAAAAAATTAAAGCACTTAGTAATAAGAAGCTATTTGAAGATCTATATTGATAAATAATTTTAAGGTTGAGAATTTTTTCTTCGTAAAGAAATAATATATTTTTTAATGATTATCATAAATTATTAATTTCTATCCGTCAGCAGCTATATTATTCATATATTACATGTATATTTCTTCTGTAAACAACTGTGGCTCAAATGTATGATTTATTATTAATATATCTAATATATTTTGTATACATTTTATATTTCTTTTTAGAAATTATTTTTATTTATTTATTTTTTTTAATTTTTATTTCTTTTTCAATGATCATAAAGTTTTATAAAATATTGCAACCTTTTGATAATGAAAATTTATCTGCGAGAACAAGTTCTGTCTGCTGGCTTGTGTAATAGTTTACCGTTATTCATTAATTTATTCCAAATTCCATTCTCTATTAATAGTCTCCACTTTGCTTAATAGACGAACACTTACCTTTTCACTGCACATTTGTTGTTATATGCCGTTCTGACCGTTCCAAGTAAAACTCTCACGTTTTTGCATTTTCATCCAACGAGTATCGAACGACAACATCACTTAATGTGATCATTAATAAATGTAAATGATCATTAATGAATCTAAATGCGCTACGATGTTCTGTTCATGTTATCTGTCGGTATGTGAGATGAATACGTACGATGTGGGTTAGTATTGTTCGTTTGTGTGTGTGTGTGTTGATTTGTTGTGATTTTTACTTCGTTGTTGTTAAGTCTGAAAATACGTTAGAAGTTCACTTATTTGGCTGGTCACTTCATCCTTGGACTTGTCATTTATACTAAAAAACAAAAAAAGCACAACAAACGTCGTCATTAGTGCGCAGAGAGCAGTGCTTGCACGAACGACAGCAACTACCGCTATTCCGTTTCCACTTGTTTCATTTCTACGAGTGATTCTTCGACTTCTGTACGAACGGTGGTTTTGGTATGCGCAACCTTCAACATTTGTGATTTTCTTCAACGTTTTTGTTGTTTTTATCTTCTATTATTGCATATTAAAATTCTTTATTGCGTCGCGTTTCTTGACTTTAATTAATTTAGAATAAATTATATTGGAAATGTTGCTTATGCGCGCAGTGGTTGCAGAGCATGCGCAACTTTTCTACTGTAGCTTTGAGAAGTTCGCAGAGAACGTTTACATTCGGGTTTCGTTTTCATTGCTAAGCGCTCTGAAAGTGAATTGCCGTCGCTTAGAAGAAAACTAAAAGTGCATAGAAGAGTTAATTTGTTTGACTTGTTCGGGTTGTGAAAGTGAAATTTTTTTTATTTTTATTCAAAATGTTAGTAAAAATTATTTAAAAATTTTTTATTCAATTTGTATATTTAAATACTCAATATTTATTAAATTTTTTTTTAAATTTCCAGGCCTTTTGGGTAATGACGCGAGCATTTTTTTTGCAGCGTTGGATTTCCTTTTTATAAAGTAAGTAAAAAAACTAATTTTGCAATATTTAATTATATATAATATTATATACTTTAATTTATTAGTTATTATTAAAAAAAATTTATTCTAATCAATTAATATTATATATATATCAATTAATGAATCAATTATATTACATATTTTTATATTAAATATATATATACCTCTTTTAAAATAATTATTTTGTATAAGTTCTTTATATTTTTAAATCAAATATCTTATATATCAGAAATATTTACATGCTGTGAAAAAAGTTTCTACAATATTATCTCTGACATATATTTAAAACGTACGTTTCTAAAGTGACTTAAGTACATATTCTAAGTTCTCATGCTAACCTATCTTCTATTTCTTACCTATAGACCCGTCCTATAAACCTCTTTGTTTCGCTAACGGAAAATTAAAATTTTTTGAATTTGATAGTTTGATTTCGCTGCATAATAACAGCCGCCCAACCGCTCTCCAAGGAGCGAAATGGGCAATACCACCAGAGTGAACGCTTATTCAAGCCGGCAATATTTAATTATTATTTAGTTATTACTTATTTAAACAGTGTTCACATTGAACATGTTTAAATATATCCGATATTGTTTAACATTTTTCTAATTAAAATGTTAACTAATACTAATCAGCTTACAGCGGTGCTGTTAACTGGCACTTTTTTGTCTGTTGGTTTTCGTGTTGTTAGCTATTTTTTGCTTATTTTACTATATATGAATACATTAATGAATTAGTTGGAGCACTGAAAGTTTGCGTTAATAGTTTGTTTGTTGCAGTCAAAAGCAGAAGTCGCTGTGAGGCTGAAATATATTCAAATCTTCCCCGATGTCTAATGTTAGTTGATTAAAAATGTTCACTTTACAATTGATATGAATTTAACTTATGACCATCATAATTCAGAGTTTTTGTGTACAACAGAATGCAATGTATATACCTTGAAAGGGATATTGCAATAATCATTATTGTAGATAATGACATCTAAAATATTTGAAATCTAAAAAGTTCATTTGCTTTACATTTCTTATTAAAAATTGTATCTTACGAAAAGTTGTATCGTAAATTTAAAAGTAAACTATTTAGTGCTATGTTATGCAGTAAGTCATGGTCTCCTCAAAAGTCAAATTAGTAGGAATCTTCCTCAAATTAACAGTGCTTTTTTTTGGAAATATTTTCTACTACTTCGAATATTAGAAGAAGAAAAAATAAATTGGTAATTATAGAATATATTACTACTATTATCATGGACTGAATAGATCTCTGTAGACCGATAAATTAGCTGTACCTATATATAATTTTTCAACTGCTTTTGCACTATCTGTTTTTTTCAAAGCCAATATCTTAGAAATGGAGTAACAACATATATATCGTCTAAATTTTAGTGTTGAATAATATTACTACCATTGTTATGGACCGTTTCCTCTCTATAGATCTCAAAATTAGCTATTACTGTATAAAATTACTTTAGTACCAACTTTTTTTTTTTGTAAAAAAAACACCTAACAATTGAATAACATTTTATATTCTAACTTCAGTAAAAAAGATGGAATATTGAATTAAAAAGAAATTCTAGCTAAGGAAGACGTTACGTGCTCTCAAGCTGACTATCTGTCTTAGATCAAAAATCTATATAAATACTGTTATAATTTTGCATATATTTTCTTACTTTTAATAATTTTTACATATAAAATTAAAGATTCCAAAACATGTAAAAACTTCACACAATATTTTTCTCTGGTTTTCCAATCAATAGCTATTTATAATTATTTTTTACGTAATAAATTAATAGCTTTTTATTTTTAAAAACATTTATGATTAGTTTACATAAATCATATTCACGTAAACCTTAACTATGACTAATACTCACAGTAAATCTATTATTAGTCTAATAATGTTGTCATCAATGAAAGAACATTGCAATAAAAACTGGGAGAATATAATTGACTAGATTAAAATTACTTGATAAATACGATTTAAAGCATAAAAGATACAATATTAAATATTGAAAATAATTTTAAGAGCTAATCGTTTTTCATCTTATTATTTGAAAATAATACTCAATAAAACAGTATCACCTATTAAAGCATTCAAATTACAGTGATTGGTCTCCAAGTCAATAAAATAGCAGTAATAGTGACAGAGTTTAATAGACTTGAGATATAATATTCATATCCAGATTATGAGATAAACATTAATATGCTTATATTTTCCTATACAAATTATAATTATATTGGGAAGAAAATCACTTATTCAAATATAAGGAGGGTCTTACTAAAATAAATTTGCTCCTTCGGTTATATTTCATATTACAGTATTGTTGGTACTATTGTGATTATTGTGATTTTCTCATCAACAACTGATTTTGGAATGTATCATCTGTGGTTTTTATGAATTTATTTAAAAATACTGTGATGAAATTTTATTATAATTAAGTCTTTCAAAAAAATGGTTATTTAGTCCGTATACTACATATGAATATAATAGAGAGTTGAGCACACTATTCCGACGACGGTCGATTTGACAGTATATAAGGATTCCACTTCCTCACAACTTCACATATACATATCTTGATTATATATTTACTAAAGAAATTAAATCATATATTTTAACTATTAAACCTGAGATTGTTCTCATTGTCATTTCTTGTGCTGTGGTTATATTAATACATATAATATTATAATGTACAGTATTATAACGTATAATATTATAATATAAATAATATTATGTAAAATATTACAATATAAAATATTAAAATATTACTATACATAATATTATAATATATAATATTATAATGTATAATTTATAATATTATAATAAATAATATTTAAATACATACCAACAACTTCCTACCTTGAAAAATCACTCATACGCCCCTTTGAAAATCAATTTAAACAAAATTAAAATTAAATGTACAAACAAATAATTGGGAAGGAAGGACTTTGTCTATAGGTTAATTTAATGAGTATTTTGTTTTTTTTACTTGTAATTCATACAATCTTCATTCATTCATACAATCTCAAGACACAGAACTATGAATCTGCGAAGTCTCTACTCAATATAAGTCAATATAAATAAAGCGAAAAAGACTAGATATAACCAATCGGCTGATAAATATGTAGTTTAACTAAACTCAAACTCGAGTTTATTTATCAACTCCTTTTTTCAAGAATCTCCTTCAAGATTAAATAAAAGTCTTTCAAGCATTTCTCTAACATTTCGTTACCTCTCTTGCAGAATTATTAATCTTTGACTTTAAAATATGCCTCATGCAAAGTCTCTTTCTCTGAAACATATATTTAAGTTCTACAGGCAGGTAATAATCATTGTGGACCAAATCTGATGAATGCGGTGGGTGCTGCAGCAATTCGTGCGATTTGTCTTTGGTGGCCAATGACGTACGACACGGCGCATTGTCTGGATGAAAGAGAACATTTTTGTTCTTGTGTATGTGGCTGTTGTTTTGAGATTTCCTCATTCTGATGCACTATGATGATCTAGCCTTTTCGAGGGTAGTAGATGAATAAAACTTCACGTGCATCACAAAACACGAAATCCAGCTGTAACCTTGCCAGTTGTCTGTTGCGTTTTCAACCGCTTTAAGTTTCAATCTCTGGTTTCTGTTCTCTCAGGTGTCTACCAATTTGACCCTGCAGTGAAGTGTTGGATCCAAGTTTCATTCATTATTATATACCCATGCAAGAAGTGCTGCCACGGCATTTTTTTCTATCCAAAAGCAATAACTGATCAAGACACAAAATTGTTTGGAATCTATTTTTCTGATATTATAAAAAATAGCGTTACTAGCTGCAACTAAATGAGAAATCATTCAACTGTAATGAAATTTTGACAAGTATCATTTAAAAGTGTCCACTTTTTAAGATTTACATGGATTTTTCATTAGTGACGCTGCCAGTGTGCCATCCTACGGACTTATCAGTCAATGTCTTAAGCATTTGCAAGCCATTTTAGAGTTTATTAAAAGATTGTTTTAATATTTTCTTAAATATCAATTATTTTTTTATTAGTGTTTAATTTTTTTTAATTTTTTTTTTTATTTTTAATTTTTTTTTTTTTTTGAAACGCAACAAATTTACCAGTTAAATTTTATGCAATTTATTAATTTAATAATGATTGTAATCAAAATAATAATTAGTCAAAAAAAAACATAAATTATTAACAATTAAAGTTAAATTTTTAAATACTCAATTATATATTTTTAGTGTTATTTTTTTTTTCTTTTATTTAATATCAGCCAAATTAAGACAATGGGTAAAATATCTAATTGTAATGCTACTCCATTTGTTAGTTAAAAGTAAAAGTTTTCTATTAGAAAAATGTTACAATTTTATTATCAATTTATATGCTAAATAGTACGTGCATTTTGTATCAATAAACTTGGCTTAAATAATAAAATTAAATAAAATTAACTACATTTTCACTATAAGAAACACAAAAAAAACTATCAAATTACGCCAATTTCAAGTAAACTTCATATCAAATTTCTAATGAAAATTCCAACAACGAACTAATTTGCAGTAGAAAAATAAAAAAAGAAAAAAATAATAAATGAAAAACAAATAAATAAAATAAAAAAATAAATAAGGCAGAAAGCACATCAAATAAAATTATAAAATATTCCCGACCTACGAATCTACAAAAAGCTAATAAAATTACAAAAATAAAAAGAAATATTTGATTATATTAAAAATGATACATGCAATCACACAATAAAAAGCAAAAAAAATAAAAATAAAAATAAAAATAAAATAAAAAAAACAATAATGCATTCAAATGCATAATGCAAAATGCGAAACAAAATTATACTTTTGTTTTCAATGATAACGTAATATTATGAAAACACACATATGAGCTGTAAATAGAAGAGCAACAGTGACAGCCAGCAGTGTACGTGCATATGAGCTTACACACTCTCTGAGCCACTACTTGCGTCTTAGTCCAGGACTGGCTGCCAGTATGAGTATGCATAACAGAACAATTCACAT